TATACGTAAACAACCGAAATGCGGTGAGGAACGGTCGTCCACAACCTCAGACTGTGCTCTGCCAACCCAGAACGGGACACCTTGAGACAGTTCCTCATCAGGCGGCCTAACAATCAAAAAATCACCTTTGTTTATATGGCACCGAGGGTCGAAGTCCACTTTTGGACGGCCCGCCCTCGGTCCTACATATATAAGCGAAGCATCTGGCGAAGGAGGATTGGCTTCTTGAACTTCGTCCACAGTTTCAAGTGATTGTGGCCAGAAGGCGTGAGGGTAGATCTCCGGCTCGTCCACCCCGAGGACATCCTTTTCCTCACCTTCTTCCGTCTTTTTCTTCTTTTGCTTTTGGATCATATCGTCCACCTCGACGAAGATGGCTTTCCTGTAAGACAAAGCATCCTCCCTTTTGTCGACCTCCTCCTTCCTATATGTCTGCCACATATGTCTATGCTGTTTGAGGACGTCCATAAATTTTTGGACACTGTCACGAGCCATCCGAAAATCGTCTTTAACGACACGGGGAATAACATATGGCTGTGGAGGGGAGGTAGGGCTTGCATACTGGCCATCGACAACCGGGAACTAGTGAACTGGTCTGCCTTCCGGCATTCATTCCGCATTGGTACAATACTTCTTGTACACCATGACGGGACTGTCGTCACGCATGAAGAATTTGAAGAGGTGCGGTTTCGATACGCCGACGATGGTTCTATCGACGTATCGATCCACTACTCGGCGCCAATCGGCAATGTGATCGAGCTCAATGCACTTCGGCGGTATCTTGTGCGAAGACTCGATAAGCGATAACAACTGCTTCATGGTGTAAGCATCGTTGTCCTTCATTTTTTTCGAGAAAACACTAAAAGTCGCGTCTATGTCGGTATGCGTGTGGCCAACGAGCATGAACTCCACTTCGACATCTTCGAAAATCCCTAATTTCACCAGAAGAGAGGTCAAACACATAAGGTATTGGTTTTTGTTTTCCCTCCAGCAACTGTCTGCCTGGATGCGGAGGTGGTGTGGCCATTTTTCTCCCGACGCCTACAACTCACATAGAGTCCGCATCACGCACGTCATGGTGCCATCGGAACCGTGCGCATAGTAAGGCAAATACGTGTACACATAAATGGACGTTTCCTGCCGTGAGCTACGACCGCGGTCAGGTTCGTTTTCATCATCATGTCGTGTCGATGATCCTTCGAGTAATTATACATGCCGATGTGAGGAATGATTGTCTTTTTCTGATCCATTCCATCCACTATAAGGCAGAGGTATTCCGCGGGGTTCAATATTGAACGAAGTTTCCAGTCAGCGTAATCTACACGGTGAGCGACATGATCTAGTTGGTGTTTGCGGTGCTTTTCATCAAAATCCCTACCGTCACGAAGGAGGAAGGCGTTGTCTCTGGCATGTCTAAGGCGGACGCAATCGCCACACTTTGTGAAAGAGTTGGACTTGGCAAGGTCGGTATGCCACAAGTACTTCCTCCATATGAAGTAGAAGACTTGCTCCGAAAGGACGGTCTGACCCGCCGCTTCCAAGCCTGCCTTGATAGACTCATATACAGGGAGCTTCGTGAAATAAGCAGGGAGTCTAACTTTGGGTCGTTGTGAGGTCCCCCTCACAACCATTTCGTTAGGCATAGCATCTCCATGTTCTTCCACGAACCTTGTCACACGAGCCAGCATGCTCACGTACTCCGGTCGCGGGTTCAACAATCCCTCGTCGACCATGACGGCCACGGACGTCCCCGTCCGACTTACACTTGCTATAACGACGAAATGTGTTTCGACATATCCCTATTATTTTGCACCAACCGGCGATGCACACACGGCGTTTGCACTGCACTGGTTGGACTTTTTCCAGACCGCCGTCGAGGATAGTGAAATTGTCGAGGGTTTGCATCCACCACTCGATCCTCCTTTCGAGGGACATTTCATAATAGGCTTCGCGCACCGGTTTGATATCATCAATGGTCAAGACCCGAAGACACTTGTTCTTACAACATTTGTACGTCGGGACGAGCGCAATGTTAGTTTCATTCAATCGACTTTTAGCCCTCTTCGAATGCTCTGACCTTCTAATCGACCTATTTTTCCGATTATATCTTCTCCTTTCTCCAGGTAGGGGATGGGACAAAACTTGAAGGACTGCTTCGGGAGTTCCAGGTTGGCTTTTGGTCGGGGACCTATGCGATGCACCTAGGAATTTCGATCCGTCCGTGGGAGCGGTTCTCGGCAAATCAGATTCGGAGGATCCCGATGAACTGTAGAAATCTGTGTTTACAAAACCAGTCTGCCAATTTTTCATTGCACCCGTCGCTGTCATCGACGGAGAGCGAATTATTCCGGCTTCACATGCAATTCTCTTACCTATCCTCGCACTTCCACACGCAAGTACCGTTGCCTGGTCCCTATCATACCCGTTTCTACCAAATGCATCGCACTATTACCGATCAGATCCGTTTCTATCAGGCGTACCGCAGAAGTCTGTGTCCACCAACGACCGACTGTAGTCACATGCTAGGGGTCGGGTAACTTCAATGCTTTCAGACAGTCTACCTGTTGTCCGCACGAGATCTGATCCAGTCGTTTCGGACACACCACAGAAATCTGTGTCCACGGACATCCACCCACCGGGAAACGTCTCGGCATCCCGAACACCCTCACTAACGGAGATTAGCATTGTAGATACGCGCTGACCGTCGGGAACATCGGTAAAGCGAACAAAACGACGCGGGGTGGACGTCGTAGACAAGCCTGAATGATTCGTCGAGGTCAACATCGAGAACTCCCTTTTCAAACCGCAATGCCGATCAAAGGGAGCTTCCGGGCTGCTGTCACAAGAACTACGTTCTCGAAGATCGTCTTCTCCGTGTTGTCGTGACGGTGGCAGTGGTGTGACACAATGAACGGATTGGATCGCCATTTAAAGAGATGATTCACACGGAAACTGTACAACAAGAAAATCACGTCAACGTATGACGAGGTCGGGGAAATAAACAAGAGGGAGCAAACTCACATTTCAAACATTTATCACAAAACAGTGGAACAACAACATTTGAATCCATATCGTTTTTTCGGACCCTGATGTGAAGCTCAAGTGGTATCTCAAGTCCGACTCCTCACCTACTCGTTAAGTGTGCAAGTGGTTTGGATATGTCCGAGTAAACTCGCACTTTTTCAGGCGAGAGTACAAATGCGAGCTGATTCGAACTTATTCAACGTACAGTAAGAAATTAATTCCATGGTCGGAACAAGAGCGAACACAAGTGCGAGTCGATTCGGTATTATCTACTAAACAGCGAGAAATTTCAAGTGCCAAAAAATTCGCACTTCAGAGGAACATTTCGATTACGTCGTGCAATAAGAAATTGCCTTCGTGGTTGGTTATATGGCGAGTTAACTCGCAAATACAAAAGGTCTTCATTCTTTTCGGCCGACAAGAGACGCGAATAAGCGACTAAAGACGAACAAATTTAAGGGGATGGATGGTTGAAGAGCGAATAAATTCGCACTTGCAAACGAGCATTTCCATTATGAAACTAGGGCTTATGGACAAAGAGTCACAAATTTGGGGGGATGGTTGGTTGAAGAGCGAATAAATTCGCACTTGAAGACAAACATTTCCACTATGACACTGGGACTTTTGGACTATAGAGTAAGAAATTTAGGGGGATGGTTGATTGGAGAGCGAATAAATTCGCACTTGCAAACGGGCATTTTCATTACGAAACTGGGGGTACAAGTGCGAGTTCATTCTGACCTATGGACTAAACAGTGACATATTAAGGGGTTGGTTGGTTCAAGAGCGAATGAATTCGCACTTGTAAACGATCATTTCCATTTCGAAACTGCGGGTACAAGTGCAAGTTGTTTCCAGCTTGTTCTGCGTAATGTACGAGCCACAGATCGTGGCAAGAGAGAAATAAAGCAAGATGGCGTGCTATTTTTTTAGATGGAGAAAGTTTGCGGAGCGATGGGCAGACGGCGCATCGATGAAAATACTTGGAGAGAGATGGCGAACCGAATGAGAGAGATGGCGCACCAAGAGAGATGGATGCAGTCACAATCTTCCCTTGAATACAACGTCTGGTCATTACAGCTGAATTCTAGCATCTTTCAGTCTAAAGACAACTATAATGAAAGTGCGTTGTATATTCCGGGGAAAAAGGTGGATGGCGCAGGAAGGGAAAGAGATCGAGAACTGATTGGGAGGTGTGCCGCAGCGAGATAGAGAGATTGCGCACCGAAGCAGAAACATGGCGCAGCAATGGAGATAGCAGGCACAACGATGGTTAGCGATAGCACAGCAATGGAGAAAGATGGCGCACCGAAGCAGATAGATGACGATGAAGATAGATTAGGAAAGATAGCGCAACGATGGAGATAGATGACGGAGAAGATAGATTAGGAAAGATAGCGCACTGAAAGACATGGATGACGAAGGAGATAGATTAGGAAAGATACCGCAGCGATGGGGATAGATGACGAAAGGTCGGTAGAGATCGTGCATCGGTGGAGAGAGATGGAGAGAAAACGCGCAACAATGGTTGGCAATGCCACAACGATGGAGAGAGAAGGCACAACAATGACCAAGATTTGTTATTGCACAACATCAGTTTCATTGAGCTTAACCTTCGTTAAGCATACCTATCACCTGTTTCGTGCGATTCCACAGTGATGGGCGGCTGCACCGACAACAGCCTGAAACAACAATACAATGGCGATGGCGGGATCGCGCACGAGTAATGGAGAGCCTCTGGGGCAAGGATGGAGGTTGCCCGGTTGTCGAGAGGGATTGCGCAGTGATGGAGTGAGATGGAGAGTGATCACTCAGCGATGGAGGGAGATCGTGCGGCGATGGAGAGAGAAATCGCGCAGCGCTGCGATGGGATAACACTGACCAGGGCTTCGATAGCGATGGCCAGCGCTGCGGTGGAGAGCGATGGCGCACCGGTGGAGAGCGATGGCGCGGTGATGGAACGCGTTACAATGCAGCAATAGCGATAACGATGGCAGCGATGAAACAACGATAGCGATTGCGCAGCGATGGCGCACTGGTGGAGAGCGATGGCGCAGCGATGGAACAGCGATAGCGATAGCGATGGCAGCGATAGCGAAGGCACACCGATTGAGAGATGGCGCAGCGATGGCGATTGTCAGCGATGCGATGGTCAAGCGAGCTTTGCGTTGCGATGGCGATGAGCTAAGCGCATCGATGGAGATGGTGCATGGCGAGCGTTCGCGATGGCGATGAGCTAAGCGCATCGATAACGATGGTGCATGGCTAAGCACATCGATATCGAACGCCGTTGACATTTGCAATATGCCCGAATGACAACGACAACGAAACTTATAGATTTTCGGTGTTTTTGACCTCGGCGCACAACAAATCGCCGCGCCTTGACAGGAAATAAACCATCGCCTGGCCTCGGCGCGCAACGAACCGCCTCGGCGCACAACGAATCGCCACACCCTATAGATTCTTGCACCTGACCTCGTGCGTTGGATCATGCCGATCGATGGTCCAGATTTCAACTGCGAAAATGACATTGCCTGCCCTTTGTTTTCGGGAACTGTCACATCATTGCACGCCGGAGTAGATGGAGACTTTGGGGCCACTGGCATAATAGTGGCTCCGTTCATCTGCGCGGTTGATAATTGTTGATCGACGACTGACAATTTCCGGTACCCCTTACCGTTTATAGGCCCTGGCGTTTTATGGGCCAAGGGGTGCGATACGCGAATCGATTCTGCCCCAACTTGATGGCGTTTTATGGGCCCAGGGGTGCGATATGCGAATCGATTCGGCCCCACCTTGATCCCGACGCAAGGCCTGCTGCAACAAAGTATAAAAGGCGTTGCAGCCCTCGAGTTATTCCTTTTGTTGGCGCTCCACAGATCAAGTCGCGTTATCGCTTCCACGCGCGTTCCGATATTTGGTCTTCAGCCCCCACCACCTTCGCTCCGTCCACAGTTGCCACATTGTGTTCGGTTCGCTCTTCGCTCCTCGGTCTTCGCTCTTCCTAGCTCGATATCCCTCCACCATAGCTGGTTCGGTGGTTGGTTGCTCGCTCAACGCACGACGAAGGTAATATCATATAACTTGAGTTGTCCAATTCTGTGTCTGACGTCCGAACACATTCCCAGATGCCCTGTCTGTACCTGCAGGATATAACGCCGCAGCCGCATTCTGTTGAACCCTGAATCAATTCCCGGTTTTGTTGTTTCGCCAATGGACGTGCTCTGATCTATTTTTTTCACCCTCCACCTCCGTCCGTCATAGTCGATCCTCGTTCCGCATTTCGATTACCTTTCGCCATAGCCACGATAACGTTCGTATAAAGCTGCTCGATCCCCTTCACAACTTGCAGTCATCGCTGCGCATGGCGAACCCCGAATCAATACCTAGTTTCTACACTGAACACCAAATCAATTCCTGATTTTCGCTCACCTTTCTCTTGTGAGGTCGCCGACCTGATATCTACATATATATATATAAAGATATAGATACATATACGTATATATAGAGATATATTGCTACACTGAACACCGAATCAATTCCCGATTTTCGCTCACCTGTCCCTTGTGAGGTCGCTGACCTGATAGATATATATATATATATATCATCACAAACAGAACTGCCCCGTAAAACCGTAGGCAGATATATATATATATATATGTATATATATGTATACATTCATATATATATAGAGAGAGATACTGCGAGTCAGTTCGCAGTTTGCGACGTACAGTGTTCGAGGAGTGACAACTGCGAGGTTATTCGCAGTTTTCCCAAGGTTAGACACATATTTCATTAAAGGCAGTTCTTTATTTCCACAAATGCGAGTTAGTTCGCATTTTTTTAGCAACACTACTAGAGTGTTGACAACCCAACCCGTGCGGCTTTCAGGTCTTCAGTTCCACAATTCCGAGTTAGTTCGTACTTTCCTCTAGTGCTGCGCATCGCCTTTATTGTGTTGTCTACAGAACTGCGAGTTAGTTCGCACTTGTCGAAACTCTTCGCAATTGTCGATAAACCAGGACTTCAGTTCCACAATTTGGAGTCAGTTCATCCTTTCCCGTTGTACTTCTGGTTGCAATTGTCGTCCTGTCAGCAGAACTGCGCATTAGTTCTCACCTGTCGATTCACACTTGTCGATAAACCACATCTTACTCGTTTCGTTCATCTTTCAGTTCTTCAGTTCCACAATTCTGAGTTAGTTCACACTTTTCCCTAGTGCAGCGGGTTGCCATTGTTGTCTTGTCTACAGAACTGCGAGTTAGTTCGCACTTGTCGACACCCTTTGCACTTGTCCATAAACCACATCTTACTCGTTTCAAGGGCATCTAGTTGGGTCACAATCTTTCCGAACAGTTATCATCTTCCCTCTGAACTTCTGTCTTTCCTATCCTTCACCCGATTGTTGTGACTTCGTGTGCATTTCGAACACCCATCTCTTACGTCCTTTTCGTCTTCCATTTCGTTAAGTCCGAGTTAGTTCACACTTCGCTTCTGTAGTGGTCTGGGGTTGGGCGTATTAGTCATCCGAGTTGGTCTGAGGTTGGCCGTGCTAGTCAACGGGTGGGAATAGGATGGCGTCCGCAAAGAACACATCCACAAGTGCTGGACCATCTGCACCCGGGGAGGGACGACCTGTACAGCTACCTACTCCTCCGTATATGCACACAAAAGGAGCACAATGGTTTTTGGACTTCGTTGTTCAGGGGGACCTTTTTGGGCCAGCTGTTTTCATGCGACCCACTTGCGTTACAGATGCTGGGGGAGCGGTCAACGTTGTTCTTCTCGGTACCGTCGTCTCGTGCACGAAGATTCCTGGAGGCTTGCTCAAGCTGCACACTAACGGCTTGTACGACGAGTGCAGACTGCCTATCAGAGGTGTTCAAGGTGTGATAGTGACGATCAAGCGTTTCGCAGGGTACGGCTCGAACATGCCGTTGTGGTCTCACTTCAAAGGCCTTTACGATGGCGGCACCAAGCGTCTTCCATCGCCAGAGCAATATCTCGATCTCTCGCCGATGGTGCCGAAAGAACGTCCGGTTCTTTCGCCATAGCATCTTTTCCGGCTTTTGCCACCCCGTGAGGGATCGTCCGGCTTGGCTCAAGAAACTCAAGGTACGACAGTGGGGCGCGGGAGTCCGATTCAAAACGCTGGGGGTCGGATCAAGGGACACAGCGTTCACAAGCAGGTCGGCCCAGATGCTCCCAGGAACACGTCGGACTTGCATTCTCAGGGTACAGGGACTCAACAGGTCGGTACTCCAAAACTTATCAAGGTCCGCTGCGGCGCCGACACGTATTCGCTTCGAGATGAGACGAGAAGAGATTCAAGCTGAAGGGATGGGCGCTGTCCGCGGAAGCTCTGGCGGGGAGCAGACTCCTTCGGAGAAGAAGAGCGAGCGACAGAGGATGGTACGAGAGGAGGTGGCGGAAGGAACCCTCCGCATGAAGAGGATGAGAGGAAAATCGAAGGAGGTGAAGGGCGGGGATGGAGGTGGCGACAGAGAACATGCCTCGGCAAGGAGGCCGACGAAGGAAGAGGGTGGGACGGCAAGTAAGAAAGCGAGGAGGCCCGGCGGTTTGACCATCCCCGAAGGACAAGCCGCGGGTGGAGGAGATTCGACTGATCCAGGCGCTGCGGCCTCTAAAGAACCTTCGGGGGAATCGAAACGGAAAGTGGCAGCTGAAGAAGGCGATGGCCAGAAGAAACCTTGAAGGCGGAAGACTGCTGAGGTGGCGAGCGGGGCCGAACGGCCTGTCGGTGAGGACTGCGACGAAGCAGCAGCGTTCTGGCTCGAATACGAGCGGAACGATGGCGGTGAGGACTGCGACGAAGCAGCAGCGTTCTGGCTCGAATACGAGCGGAACGACCCCAGGAAGCTCTGCGACATCCCGTCTTGGGAAAGATATTACAACCACCGCGGTCTAAATCGCGAAACTGTGGACGACATCAAGGCTGCGATGCTGCGTCGATTCCCCGAGAAAAGGGGCAAGATCTGGACAAAAAACCCTTTGGTTTCGACACCCATCTACAAGTCGGTGGAGCGTAGGCCGGAGCAAGATGAAAGGGTTCACAAAGATGTCTTCAAGCAAGAGGACAAGGACAAGTACTACTATTACCCTGTTAACGGACAACACACCGTGGCTGTTGTGGAGGAGTTGGAGGGTGAGCGAATATTCGTATTGTGGAAGATGCACTCGTGGTCGGCGAGAGTGGTGTGGTTCTCCGACTGAGATTTCGCGGGTTATAGGCAAGTCAGTCTCAACGAGAACACGAGACACAAGAGGTCTGGGCAGTGATCGCAGAAGGCCGCGTTCTTGGACATGCGGGAGGCATGGGAGAAAGAAGGAAGGTCGATGGCCATTCAAGGGAACCCTTCCGGCAAGGAGGGCGAAAACAAAAGTTTTTCGATTTCCAAAAGCTGATTTTGGGAATGAGTCCGAACGAAGCTTACTGGTCGTTGGCAGAAAAAGATCAATCGCTCGCCGACAAGGAATATGTCGCTGCCTTTGGCAATGCATTGAGGAAGTGGATGCCGCTCGTGACGGCCGGTGATGACGTTTTTCGCAAAGCCATGGAGTTCTACACGAAATGGCCAGAGGGGAAGTTGTCGGGCGGCGACGGCAAGACGCCATTGTCGAGGCCGGGCAAATACATGCCAGACAAATCTTCGGGTTTGCAAGCAATTCCGGAAATGGGCTCGAAAGGGGCTACTTGTGAAACGAAGATGGGGTGGCTTGTCCGGGTACCTCCGCCTTCTACCAAAAAGAAAACGCAAGCGGACGACAAGTTTTTCGTGGTCGTGAAGGAGCCAGATATGTTCTATTGGCAGTGTCTTGCTGACATGATCGATGTCGAGAAACTGTCGATCCTTGACGACATTCTCGCGCTAAGAGGAGTGTTCGTGCAATCCGCGGGCGGCCATATGAAGCGTCAGCATAAACCTGGAATTAAAGACATGGTCGAGACGAGGAAAGTGGACCGTGTGATGCTCCGTATGTTCCACTACATCTTGTTCCTTGAAACAGAGGAGAACGAGCGTGTTTGGTGCCACGGGAGCCCATTTTTTCGGACCGAGGGGAAGCTTCTGGAGGAGTTCGGGCCGCAGGGCCTCACGAAACTGGTATGGGTTGAAATGCGAAAGCATTTCCAGGGCGCGGTGGAGTATGTGAACACTTGCAAACGTAGTCTTCCGCACGAGAAGAAGTTCATCGACGACGCAAAGAGATTGTACGATGATGACAGATTCCCTAAATCTTTCGAAAAGTCTGTCCGTTCCATCTTGCGACGGACGGAAGAAGAAGTTCGAGACACGATCAGGGCCAGCGGGGATGTGAGGCATATCAAATGGCCCGACCTCAACCGGGTGACCAGACTTATTCCTTTCGCTTTCCCGCCTTCCCAAGCTCACAGTCATGTCACTGCGATCCGTGAGGTTGTGCGACATTACGTGTGCAACCTGTACGTCCTCAATTTGTGTGATCCCACACTCCCCACAGACTGGCGAGAAGACGATTTCGCCAACTTGCAAGGCCCTCTACAAACACTTTCGCCAACGCACTGGGCACTTGTGATCTTTTTCCCCTCTCGTTGGGAGCTCAGTTTCTTGAAAGGCATGACCATGCTTAGCGCCCATCACGTCAGAACAGGGAAGTGGGTACGTAGTGCACAAAAGCAGGTCACTATCCGGGAAGGCAATATGCTGGTTGAGGAGTGTGACCGCCTGTACGTGATTTTAAATGGCGAGAAGCTGGAAGACAACACATTCGCAGTCTACCCGGCCAGTACCCCGACTAAGGTTTCCCGTGCTCATGGTCCAAGTCCGGCCAAACACACGGTGGCGGCCGCTCGAAAGCTGTCTGTTCGTCGCATCCATCAGGACAGGTTGTGGTGTGTTTCGACGTGGCGGAAAAGGAAAGGTTCTCTCGTAGCATGTGGGAGGACGGCGGCGTGACAAGTTCTCAAGGACCTGCTTACGGAGAGATGGAGAGGAACCCGTCTCGTCTACTTGGTCTACTCGTAAACTTTTGCAAAGCTGGTCACACTGATTTTTTCTTTGGGAAGGCGCATGCGTCTGTCGTGTGGGAACTCCTGCACACCGGTCAAAACGTCGTCGCGTTGGAGAAGGCGGCCAAAATGATTGATTACCTTCACGAGTTCGTGAAGGCACGCGTTGCAGACACTCGCAATGCTTGTGAGTCTGACCGCACCACCGGCGAACGAAACGGGGATCCCAAACGTGACATGTATTGACAATTGTCGGGGAACAAAACGACGGACGTTTGGGACTTCCTTTTCGGACCCGGACCGCCTGGTCCAACCGACCTCGAATACAGTCGACGGAGAAACCTGGTGTTCGCTGTGCTCAATGGGTACCACGGTGAACCTAGGGAGTCTGTCTCACACTTCCTGAGAAGGCTGGAGCACATTTACTTCACGCTGGCCGAACCGCTCACTCTCGAAAACTACAAGTCACAGTTTGACGAGGAGGACCCTTTCGACGTTGAAGACATGGAGGAGCTGAGCGACTTCGAAACCTTCGATTTTGAGTCCATCCCACTTCCTCGGGTGGTTGGACAGGTTGGTGATGAAGAGGAAGGTGGCCCTCGGAGATATAGCACGTCCTGTGCCAGTTTGAATCGTGTGTTTAGGGCGAACCAGTCGACGACCAATCGTCTGATGACGAGAAGGAAGAGAGAGACTATGATCACGAACCTTGTGACAGGCTCCCTATGGATCATGACACCTAGCAGAATGACAAACTCTACTTCTTCGGCAAGCATCACCGGTTCACGTCGGAGGATGTCTGGGGACACAACGTCGTCTGGCACCCGAGGATATTCCAACCTGCTGTGAGGAATGGAAGATGGGTCATGGCAATAAAGGAGGCCGATGGCAAGTGGAGTGGACTGAAGAGACAAGGAGCGGGTGCATTTAAGGGAAAGGCAAGAACTACTCTGGTGGAGCATTTGAGTCTCATGAACCCCAAGAGGAACGATCAGGACGTCGATGCGTATGCAGAACAAAAGCTACATGAGTTGTACGCCAACAACATGTTGGAGTTTCGAGCGCCTTTCTACTCACTTAAAACGGCACCGTCTCGTGGCATTGACTGGCGCATGCCGCAACCTCCGCCGGCCGGTCAGCATCCGAGAGGGGGTGGTGGAGGAGACGAAGGAGACGGAGGAAGTGGCGGAGGAAACGACTCACAGTTTGTCGGGAAGGGGACAAGCGAGACATCGTCGGTTGAGAAGGCGTCCGGCGGAAAGGGGTCGGGCGGGAAGGGGTCGGGCGGAAAGCGTAGAACGTCCGGGAGTCCCCAGTATATGGAAACTGACCCCCACTGCGTAGGGAGTCGAGATTCCGACATGCGAGACGAGGCCACCCTGACGTCTGATCAAGTGCGAGTAGATTCGCACTTGTCTGCGAGGAGTTTGTTTCCCGTTGCCCAGGAGAGTCCATCCCGCTGTGCGCAGCAGAGGTCTCTTGTGCTCAACACCTTGCTCCTGAAAGAGGGCGCGTCTTCGTTTTGCCTGAAGCGCGGGATGCTTGCATTGCGAAGGAGCGAAGGTGCGACCTCCGGTTCCCTCGGCTCGGGCGACCGCCACAAACTCCGAATACATTCGGATTTGTTCACGTCGCCCTCCGCCATAAGTGCTCCTCACTCAACAGTTCCGCGAGGCCAAGAAAATGTGACGTCCTAGCCCACGCATCTTCAGTTGGACACAGGGTTGCCCAGCTCGCCTCCTTTCTCATGTGTTGAGACTCGAGACTGGAGGTCTCGCGACGTGCTGGAGGGGCCCGCTCCAGGAGTGTTGGAGACCGGGGGTAGCGAGAACGAACGTCACACTCCTGGTGAAGACGAACGTTCTCCGGGAACACGTGCTGTACATCTGGAAGAGGAGACTTAATGCTGGCAGTCTCCCAAAGTGTTGGAGACCGGGGGTAGCGAGTGTGAACGTCATGCTTCGGAGGGTGCGTTCGTGGACACTGACAGCGAGAGTGCAGGAGTTCCGGGGGCAACGCATGCTGTACAGCGGGGAGAGGAGACTCGACACGGGCCGGCTCGTGAAGACGTGAAGTGGCTCCACGCACGAGCGCTGGTGATCGGGACGTCCGAAGAGGTTCTGCACAGTCGCTCGGCTGTGGCCACGACGCGAGAAGGTGTCGTTAAGGGAGGTAAGTGGACGTCCATGCAAGCTCCCGTTCTTGGCAACGATGAAGACGAAGAATAACCTGCGGTGGAAGCTCGGATTCATGGCGGAGGACAACCCATGGTTGAAGGCGATAAGGTGACTGTCGACATTCGGACGGATCCACAGCGGAAAGATAGTGATTCTTCGTCCACCCGTTGCGGTGATGAACAGGGTGGTCGAGCGTCTGTCCTGAGCACCGCTCGTGAAATGGTGCTTCATGAAGCCATAGAGTTGGGTGACGACTCAGCTGCCACCGAGCTGGTTAGCGCATCAGGCGTGGCCGAGATGCAGAACGTCGAATACTCCGTGGAAGGCGGTGAGGTGGCCGTCAGCATCAAGATGGATCCAGACCGGAAAGATCATGATTCTCCGTCCACCCGTTGTGGTGCCGAACAGGGTGATCGACTATCTGTCCTCAGTACCAGTCAGGAAATGGTGCTTCATGAACCCATCGACTTGCCAAGCGACTCAGCTGCCACCGAGCTGGTTAGCGACACGGCCGTGGCTGAGGTTCAGAACCTCGAATCGTCCGTGGACGTTGGCGCAGTGGCGCGACAGGAGGGTGAGTTCCCTCAAAGGGCTCCCGAGCACGATAAGATTTGTGAATAGGACCACTCGCATATCTGTCAATAGCCAGCTCTGTGTTCGTCCAAATTGATGTCATGGGCTAATGTACCTATTACCACTGGTAAAAAAAAAGCTTGTGGGTTGTGGGTTGTTTTCTATGTTCTACAGGTGTAAGGTTGTTAATGTCCCTGCCCATGAAGCCTTTAAAAGTCGTGCACGAGAAACGTCTTTCAGGGAGGTCATTGGCCGCTTTACCGAAGAAGTCGTCAAATGTAGGGTTGTTTAAAAGGGTCCAGATGCCTCGCCTTTCCCAGAGAGCTGTCAAGGTTCTGAAGGCTCGTGGAATAGATAAGGAGGAAGGTCTGCGGAAATATTTGGCTGCGTTTATTGAGAGCGTTACTGCTTTGTCTGATGGGTCTGATGACGATGGCGAACGGGCTGTCTTGAAAGACCCGTGTCCTAATTACATCGCGAAGGACAAATTCAATAGTCGGGGATACAACTTTTCTAGGAAAAGGGCAGACAGTTCTTAGCCATTCCACCACGGGGTTTGTGCTCACTCCTCACACTTGTTCGTAGGTGTTTGTGCAGTTGGGGCTACATGATGTTTTCGCGTTTCGTTGCCTAGTGAGGAGCTTAGCGCTACGGACTTGAGAATGTTGCGGAACGTCTGTGGAGATTACAGCAACGGCCACGAGGTGGTGTGCTCGGTTCGCAAAGGGGTCAGTTCAATTATGTTGAGCAGAAAAAGTCTTCAAACTCTTGTTAAGGGGGAATGGCTTTCCGACGAGGTGGTGGAGTTGTATTTGGCCTTGCTTGCCAACGCTGCGTTGCCTGGGTGTCCCTCTCTTTACATTTTCAGTCCATGTTTCTATACCAAGCTCGTTCGTGGCGGCTATCGACATGATACGGTTGCGAAATGGACAAAAGATGTGGATATTTTCTCGCACGAGATGGTCTTGATTCCTGTCCATAAACATAAAGTGCATTGGACCCTATTGTGTCTCCGAGAACAACGGCTGAAGTACTACGACTCCTTGGTACAAGACGATGGTGGTTTTTCTTCCGATGTGATTGCGAACTTCACGCAATACCTCCGTGACGAAGCGGTTTGTCATTATGGTCCAAAAACGAAAGTGGATCTCCAGGAGCCCAAGGTGGTTGTTCGTGGTGTCCCTCAACAATCGGACGGGTCGAGCTGCGCTGTTTTCATACTCGCCTTCGCTTCATTTCTTGCACGTGGCTGTCCGCCACCATTTCCGATAGCCCAAAGCGACATTCCAAACATCCGGTTGAGGATTGCGGTGGACATACTCCAAGGCTCTGAATAATACCCTTGTTGTTACAATACTCGTAGTTTTTTTTTCCAAAGCCCATAAGGAGAAGTGCGAATCTATTCCCACTTCATTTGGCAGTCAGCCGGTTCGCGCTGTGCTGTTGTTTTGATGAGGTACCGGATTGCAGAGGACGTTTTTAGGTGTCGATGTGAATATCTCAGCCTCATGCTGTACCAATTTTTTTAATGGTTTTTCATTTTGTGGAACCTGTCATCTTTATTCGTAGGATTTTCAGCAGCGCCTTGCTGCCTTTGTTTGTTTTACTGTTGTTCTCATTGCTTGTCGCGCAACATCTGCTAGTGGGTAGCAGCGGACGCTTACGTGAAATAGAAGCTTAGATGCCGATGTAAATATCCCTGCCACGTCGTGCACGTCCTTTTAAGTAGACGCTTACATATCGGATGTGAATATCCCAACTTTGTGCTCCTTTGGTTTATTTTCGGGTTGTTCTCCTTATGTCCTCTCAGACCGCGGCAGCACCGTGCTGCGTTTGTTCATTTCGAGGTTGTGCTCGTCTCTTGCTCGTGTAAAAGATATCGACGATTTATTCTTGGTCGCCAAATTGTTTTGTGCTTATCTTTTTCGTTCGCGAGACTTTGTGATGTGAAAGACCCTCTCCCCCGGCCCACCCCGACTACCCAACTTTCATATGTTTTGGCTCGCCCTTGTTCTGCGTGTGCCGCCCCGTTTTACGGTTCACCCCCTCTGCTTGTCTCCATTGAATGTTGTCTGTTGGTTCCTTATGGCATTTGCGAACTTGTTCTCCATTCGGAAACCAATTGTCGCCAGAATGTATGTGTGCTTAAAGTTGTTTTACGGATTCAGCGGTGCACTGAGTGATCATCAATTTTGTTAAACCCGGAATACATCTTGTGCTCTCCACGGAATGTTGGTTGTTGTTTCTATATGAGAAATGCGAACATATTCGCACTTCGAATGTCGTACATTTGTGATTGAACTGTTGGTTCCATGTGAGAAATGAGAACATATCCACACTTTAGCTCCATGTACTTTGTGATATTTGGAAAGCCTCCGTGCACTTTGCAATGAGGGATTGTATGATATTTCACGTTCAATGTCTTTTTGAAATGTCTCTGTGTGCTTTGCAATTTGCCCTCGAATGAATTTTCTGCATTGAATGGTTTCTGGTACCTGTTCGTGTGTTGTGAGACTTCACCTTTGGAAAAACACTAGGCAACTGGAGATGTTTTCACCTCGATGTTTGCGATGTCTCTGTGTGCTTTGCAATTTGACTTGTGCTTAAAGTTGTTTAACGGATTCAGCGGTGCACTGAACTATTGGATCCATATGGAAAATGAGAACATATTCGCACTTTGGCTCCATGTACTTTGTGATTTTTGAAAAGCCTCCGTGCACTTCGCAATGTGGCATTGTATGATATTTTGCGTTCAATTTGGAAAGTCTCTGTGCTTTGCAATTTGACCTTGAATGAATTTTCTGCATAGAATGGTTTCTAGAAACAAATCGTCTGCTCTGAGACTTCACCTTTGGAAAAACAGTGCGCAACTTGAGATGTTTTCACCTCGATGTTTGCGATGTCTTTGTGTGCTTTGCAATTTGACTTGAGATGTTTTCATCTCGAAAATTGCGATGACAAGAGATACTGGTATGAATGAATATGAATCTTCTACACAGAAAGATTTGATGGCGTTTTCAACCTATGATATAGAAATGACAAGCAAATGTCCATATTAAATCGTCGCGCTGATGGACTGCGCAACTGCTTCTCCATCAAAGTGCGAGTTAAATCGCACTTCTAGTGTGAGCCCTGAGCAATTCCCTCGCACTTTGCTTCACGTCGAGGAGGGGATCGAACGCACTGCCTGTAAGCACCTGCACATCACGAAACAAGAGCATGTCCCAATTGGAACATCGTCGGGTCCTCACCTCATCGACTCTCAAGATGACTACAGCCAACAGCGGTAGGATAGCAGCTCCGCCTATCCGATGTGGATCTCACGGTGGAGTGCGAAACTCTGCTTTCAAAGATCCAGATCGGGTAGAAGGTTCTGCAAGCAGCCGCTGCTTGCTTGTAAGGCATCTTATGATGTGTCGATATAACCGACATCCAGAACTGCTTGGTGAGCATCTAGTGCTACGCCAATAAGTTCCAAACATGGCAGCAAAGTCCCCTAAAAGTGTTCTTTGTCGGGTCCTCACCACATCGACTCTCAAGATGACTACATCCAACAGCGGTAGGATGGCAAGTTCGCCTACCCGATGTGGATCTCAGGGTGGAGTGCGAAACTCTGCTCTCAAAGATCCACACCGAGTAGAAGGTCCTGCAAGTAGTCGGTGCTTGCTTGTAAGGCATCTTATGATGTGTCGATATGATAGACATCCAAAACTGCTTAGTGAGCATCTAGTGGTACACCAATATGTTCCAAACACGACATTAAAGTCCCCTGACAGTGTTCTTTGCCAGGTCCTCACATCGTCGACTCCCTCAAGATGACTACAGCTAACAGCGGTAGGATGGCATGTCCACCTATCCGATGTGGATCTCACGGTGGAGTGCGGAACTCTGCTCTCAAAGATCCACACCGGGTAGAAGGTCTTGCAAGCAGCCGCTGCTCGCTTGTTAGGCATCTTATGATTTGTCGATATAATCAACATCCAGAACTGCTTGGTGAGCATCTAGTGCTACGCCAATATGTTCTGAACACAACCGCAAGGTCCCCTAAGAATGCTTTTAGCACTGGAGTCCTTTGACCGCCGACTGTTTGGCACTTCGTGAAGGTTGACACTTCTTCAAGGTGGTCTACCACTTCTTAAAGGTAGTCAGTCACCAAACAGATCACGACCTGACATCGACCTCGATAACTGCGAATTGACTCGCTGTTCAACTAGAGTCTCTCTCTCTCTCTCTTTCTTTCCGTCATTTTTCTCTCTTTCTGTCTCTCTCTCTCGCTCTCTGTCTCTCTCTGTCTCTCTCTGTCTCTCTCTGTCTGTCTGTCTCTCTCTCTCTCTCTCTCTCTCTCTCTCTCTCTCTCTCTCTTTCTGCCATTTTTCTCTCTTTCTGTCCTCTCTCTCTCTTTCTGTCTCTCTCTCTCTCTCTCTCTGTCTCTCTCTGTCTCTCTCTCTCTCTCTCTCTCTCTCTCTCTCTCTCTCTCTCTTCCCCCCTCCGCCCCCCCCTGTGTTTCTGCATTCGCTCGCCACCGTCCCTAAGAACCCGCCGTTGCAATCTCATATAATGTCTGATGCCCGAAACTTTTGTTAAAACGGTTCGACAACGGGTGTGTCATGGGTGATCGGATCAAGTTGCAATCTCATATAATGTGGTCCGGCTAGCGACTCGGCACGGGGGGGGAGAGGAGGGGG